TTGGTGCGGCTTCTCGCCGCTGTGGATGCGGCGGTGGGTGTTGAGCGAGGACGACGTCGAGAAGCCCTTGTTGCACACCATGCACACGTGCGGCTTTTCACCTGCGCATCACCGCCCGCGCGTTGCCAGCACACATGCACACCGTCCGGTCGACCGGAGCGCTCGCTCGCCAACCACACGCTAGTTTGCCATCTTTCACTTTTTCTATTGGCCAGTAATCCTTCCCCAGTTTGTTTTCTATGATTTTATAATTTAAAGAGGTAGCATTTCATAAGGTCCGTCCACAGTCTTCCCGTCCAAACAGTATCCATTACAGAGTGTCGCAATTCTCTCGCAAACCTCCCAGAGTATATGACCGGTGTCGCTTGCCCAAATGCACAACAGAATGAGAGGATTCAGCACGTCTCGTTATGAGGTGGCGCCCGCGCTATTACGAGACGCGCACCACGAGAAGAAAGTGTCGCTGCCACCCGCTCGGCGCGGGTGGCCGGAGCGGACTGCTCGAATGGCCGGAGCAGCGGCTGAGACAAGTGTTGCCGTTTGTCACGAGTGCGTGTCTTTCTTCGGAAGCGCGTGAGCTTCGGTGTTCTTCGTACGCGGTTTTCTGCTAATAAATATGTCGTTCATGTGGCTCGCATTTTCCTCAAGATTTTATGGACACGCCGTGCCGTACGGGCCTACTAACTCTACGTATTTGTAGAAATAAAATGAAACGCTCGTTTCTATTGATAAAACAATTGTGTTAAAAAAATGAAATGATTTTTCCCCCCTTGTTGTCATTCCAAGATTATATTTGATAAAAACAAATGCGAAGAGAGTAAGGGAGCAGAAAAAATCTTCAGGAAGACTGTACCTTGTTCGACTCGCGGTGTTCTAGTGAGAGGTGCTTCCAAGACAGGCTTGTGACAAAGTGGCTCAAGTAGGGAACTCAACGCCATCTCTCAACAGTCGTGTACCAGTAGGGGAAGAAGGTCAAAGTCCGACCCTAGCGTAATTTTTTTTTCATTTTTGAACACGAAAGGAGATACTTTTTCATATTTTATTATCAGAACCCTTCTGAACCTTTAGTAATAGTTATGTCATTCAACGCTTGTTGCATATTTACAAACTAATTCGAAATCGTCATACGTAAGCGCTTCATGAAAACTCAGGCATTCTGTTACAGTCTGGCCTGCCCGTAATCACATTAAAATCCCATTTTAATATCTGTCGATGTAGAGTACAGTTAAGGAATCGTAGAAACAAAGAATGTTGAACAACTATTTTTTTTTAAAATGTCACCATATGCGTCCCTGCAAAAAGGACATCAAGAACAGAAAATGTTCAAAATGAATGTGCCCTTTCCATACCTCAGAACTTTCCATACCACTTTCAGAAAATGAAACTATTTTAACACAAACATGCCAAAATTATTGATTAATATTCCTATATACATGTATTATTAGTTCTTAAATATATAAAATGCGCCTTCAGTTATATTGCAATTTATTTTGGGGACCACGGACCCCCATCCCCAAAAGAGTGTTCCCTGAGTACCGGTATGGCATTGGTATGATAAGAAGAAGATGCCGAATCCTCCATATTCCGTTGTCATGCATTTGCGTATGCGGCGCCAGTTACTTACTCTGGAAGTTGCGAGAAAGTTGAGACCCTTTGAAACAGAATGAAATGAGAAAAAGTGGGGGCGGGTTATGGAAGTTTATGTCCTGAAATTATAACACTGAATAGAAGTATTGTTAAAATATTGATAAAATAAATACATGAAGATTGCAAACTAGTGTGTGGAGATTTTCATCCATTTATTATTTAATCATTCATTATTATTATTATTTGCTTTTCATTAGTCACGCACGGAATTTATCATGTCATGCATGTATCATATAAAACACTGAGTCACGTGGCAGGCGCCTCGTATGTTGCGAATAATCTTAAGACTATATAGTTGTACGTTTTCATGCATTCATACTGAAACAAATATGATACGTAACTCGTACGGAAGTATCGTTGACGCACTCGTTTGAAAATGCAGGACCCAGCTCTCGTCAATTCGTCCGTCAACATTTCATTCATACGGCAAAGACACAACTTTTTGTACTAGTTACGTAACTACTTTAATAGTTTAAAAGTAATTTCTTATTAACTATTCACATTTATACAGATGTCCACGGAGGAAAAAACCAAACTTGGAAAATAAGCCTGTAAGTCAATTTTAAGCATATTTTGTCTAGTGGACTCCTTCGAAATTTCCAACGGCTGAACCACAATAAGCACTGAAAAGTTCAGTTAAAAAAGGCTTTCTATGCAAAAATTTGCATTTCAGAGACACACAAACCCTCCCAAAAAAGGAAATTGTTTATTCTTTACCAAAGAAATGAATTTAATTGTTCACAAAGAAAAATTAACACAGAAATAAAAAAAGCACTTAATGTACACAATTCAATTGGTTTTTTATGCCTTCCTGGACACTGTATATTCTATATCAGGGTAGTCCAACTGGCGTTTACTAGTACTCGCGAAGAGTTACTGTGCCCCGCGGGCACCCTGCTGGGGGCGACACCCCATTAAAGAAAAAATTGGTGAAGTTTAAATTTATAATTTTTTTTTTCTAGAAATTCAGAAATTAAAATCATCCCAGTTTGATTCTCTGCTTCATGCTTGGTACGGCCTGATCTCGTG